AGTTGCCAACTGTTATTTATAAACTTAAAATCCCCCAAACTGCATATATTTTTCAATTTTTATACAGTGGAACCATAGAAAAAACATACTCCCTTAGTAGATTTCTCATCCTAATGGAACAGCTGACTGAAGACAATTCTGAAGACAATTAGTTCTGTTCGGTTTATGTAGAGGTCGTGTTTTGTTTACAATTTGTTTCCCGTTATTACAGCTATTTAAAACCTCGTTTAACCAAATAATACGATCTAATAATAAACAATACCTTGTCCCCTAGTTATATAACCCAACAGTTAAGCACAAATCAAGAAATTAACCCTAAAATAATGGAAACGAAGTTTCGTCGACACTAGCGCCTTTGTGTCACGTACATGAACTAGACACGAAAAACGTGCTTCAAAATTTACAATGGGATGAGAAGTCTACTTGTGTTGGTTAGTCTATGGTGGAACCTTGATAAGAAGACCCTCGATAACAAGTCGCCCTTGATAACAAGTGTAATTTTCAAATCCCCTTAACATTATTTTACCCCTAATCACATGTTATTACAAACCTCGATAAGAAGTCAACCTTGATAGCAAGTCTTATTTTACAATCCCATTGAGAGTCTTGTTATCAAGGTTCTACTGTAAAAACAGATTTTGAGGGGAAATGTACAAGATTCAGAGAACAAAATGTACAAGGGTACAAGAAAATATCAAAATGTACTAGATCTTGTACAATTGTACAGGCTGTGGACACACTGCCCGTGCGTAAAAGCATTTTCCCTCCTCTCCCTAAAAAACAAGAAGAAAAAAAATCCCCTTAAATTGTTGAACTAATAAATTTTCTCAAATAAGTTAGAGTTTAAATTAAAAGGGAAACATTTGCATTATTATTATTATTATAAGCAGGTGTATTATTATTTTTTCCCATGGGGAATTCCTACAGATCTCCAAGGATGTCCTTATTTTTTATAAATCATTGGTAATGTTGTATTTAATTCGAAATAATATTGAAATCATTTTTAATTACGTTTCTCAAGCACTTGTCACTTAAAAAATACATACAATACTATAAAATATATTTTTAGGTACCCTACCGAGAATATCCATAGGAAGTCCCCAGGATATCGCCAAAATGCTATATGTGTGGGATACGTGCAATATCCTAGGATGGTCCCAGGGATTTCCCAAGGATCTTCCACGGATCTTCTCAGCATAAGAATGAATATATATTTACCTATATTATGTAATTATGTAATCAACATTATCGTTTGAAAAAAATAATTACAGTATAAACATTACCTTTAAAGCAGTATTCTGTTGCATATCTCGAGAAATACTTGAATTCTTAGTGAATTTTACAAATTATGAAAAAAGGATATCGTGGATATTCTAGGGATATGCCAAAGATATTCCCGTCCATCAATCAAAAACCCTAAAAAATTTAAATTAATTACTGTAACGGGCATATCCATATTCCTGTATCCCATGGGATTTTGGGACGTTTTGGGAAGTCTGTGGGATATCCTGAGGATATTCTGTGCTGTGTGGGATTAAACAATCTCTGAGATGAGATAGAAATTATTAGCAACTAAAAAAGTATAAAAGGTGATTAAGGAAGAAGTAAATGTATAAAGTAAAGTACAATATATTTGTAGAAGGAAAGGTAACAATCTAAGGTGTATACTAGGACTTGTGTAATTCAAAGGCCAACTTACTTCACTAAATTATTTATTTTACAAATCTACCAGAAATTACAAATGAACCACAATAACGCTGAGCATCGTTGAGCCTGAAAGACAGTAAGATTTCCATGTAAATATCACAAAGCTACTATTGAATTAATAAACAATTAAATCACCTGTTTTGAATTTAAACTATAGCCTATCCAAACGAAATAAAAACTAGAATTCCCCATTATTCACCAAATAATTAAAAGACAGGATGGTGTGTTTTATTTTAATGATATTTAGAATTTTCATGTTTAGTGAAATGTTTAATGACAGTAGCTCATCGACTAAGTATGTATGTTTAGAAGCACATATAAGTAATTACAGGTCAATCCTGGCCTGGCAAACAGTTTTCAAACATTTATTTATCTTCAAAGTTTGCTTTTTTTTAGTCTTAATGTACAGTATGTTTCTTTGAGTGCTTGCCAACAATCAAATGGTTGCCGGATTGATCCTGAGAAAAGTCAGTAACTTTTTTGATGGTTCGAAACTGGACCCCACTGGTCCTGATCCTTGGGCTTTAAATGATCCTGATACTAATAAAACAGCTGGTCTTATAGTCAGTAGTATAACAGAGCTTAAAGATCACCACACTCCTTTCTATACTCATCCTACACTCATATTTGGGTTTAAATATATGCACGTATGTGGTGTCCCCATCTCAATGATTGATAGTAACTGATAATTAACTCACCAAAAATAAGTTGCTTGTTTCAATAATCTTAACTTTATTTTATTAGCTGCTGTACCCAAGCTTCGCAATCTATATCTTGGATGCTTCGCATTCAATAATTGGAGATAATTATTAATATTTACTTTTGAAAACCTCAGCTCAAAACTTTGGACATCCAAGGGGCGTAGCTCGAGAGGAACTCAAGAAAGTGAATAGGCCTATGACTTTCCTAGATATGTGGACCATCTTTGTGCTTAATTTTGCTTGTATCGGTCTTAGTATTTTAGTCGTGACAGCTGCCCAGACAGTCAGACAGACACCCCTCAATTTTATACAAGTATAGATTAGATATATAGGTAGATTGGTATCACTCTACTGGAATATTATTTCAAAACTTTTATATTACAAAGAGGTTGGCAGATTCTTAAAACCTAGCATATACACATTCACATTGGCCTCATAGGCCTGTGTTTGTGTAACTTATCAAGCAAGGGGTGAGCCGGTAAAATACAAAGATTTACTGCCCTGATAATTTTTAAGCGGCAGTATGAGAATATAAACTAGGATTTCCACCATCGGCACGGGGGACCCGCCCCCCTCCTCCCAGGAAAAACAACGTATTTTTCAACATGGTCAAAAGGGTCAGAAGTCGGGACTGTGCTGACAGAATCGGGACTGGTGGTAACTCAAATATGAACCACAACATTGCATCATGGTATTTACAATCTGTAACAGGCAGGACCATATTTAGAACATTATGGGGCTCCTGGGAGCTCACTTCTGAGAGGCCCCTCTATTCTGATTATTCGAGGGGGGCTTTTAAATTATTCTGAGCTTATGGGGGGGCTTCGAAATACACATGGTATTTTGCTACAACTTGATTAACTTAAACCTTTGTTTTGGTTTTGGACGATCTGATTGGCAAAGGGACCAAAGAAAGCAACGTGGGAGTTTGCTTAGGGTGAGCTAATGAATAATTCCATTTTATTTAAAAAATTATTATTGGGGTCTGTGAGACATTTTTACTTTTGGTTGGGTAAACAATTTTGACCTTATGACGTTGAATCAGTTCGGGTCAAGACCAGATTGCTTTGGAAAGTATTGATTAGTAAAAATATTAATTGTTATACCAGTACTATAATCAATTAAAAAAATTACTACCGGTACTGCAATAGTGGTAAAATTGTGAACGTGAACACAAAACAAAATCATCTTCGCAAATGAGGGAAGATGTTCACCATCTCACTGTGACTCTGAGAAATGTCTCCTACATTCATAGCGAAATCGTGAAATTCTTCTGGGTTCCTAGGGACGTCATTTTTGTCTCCTTTGTTCGTTTTTAGTGAAATAGTGTACATCTTTCATGATTGCAGAGGCATCATTATTACCTCCTGTGAACATGGCAAATCGTAAATTTATTCTAAGTTTGCGGGGACGTCATATTTGTCTCATAGAATGCGGCAAAATAATGATTTTTGACTACACAAATCCTTCAGAAAACCAATATGAATTATATTACTAATTCACTAATATTTTAATACTGTTTGGTTAATTTTCCCTTGAAATGTGCGATTAATTTAATGTTTATCCTCTCATAAATTCTATTAAAATACTTTATAACTATTAACTCTTTCCTTGCGATTAATTTAATGTTTATCCTCTCATAAATTCTATTAAAATACTTTATAACTATTAACTCTTTCCTTGAGAATCGCTGGTAATCACTTTAATTACAGAAACTCTTTATTCTGTCCTCTAAAGTTTTTGAGCCATTACAAAGATTGTCATGGTTTCAAAATATTTCAAATGTTTGGAGTTAATTAATTATTGTTAAACATAATCAAATTAATCGCCCTAATTGTGCAGGGTGTTTCAAAATGAGAGAGCAGTTTTTATATGTTTGTTACTTGAAATCTATAAATCATCCAAGTATGGTTTATATGGCACTGGATTGAGCAAAGAATGAAGTTTCACCGTCCAATCAGCTGGTACGCTTGTTATTATTTTCCAACAAAAAATTTGTATTTTTTATCGCACTCTCATTACACACTCCAGATTTCCTAGGTCATTCAGTACTGGGTTTTTTTTATACAAAACCAGGTTCCGCAAAATTTCTACATATTAATACATTTGTTTGTGCTGAGGTATTTCTTATTAAATGTTTGTCTTTATATGGATTTCTATTTCACAAATTAAAACAAACCCTGAGGAGTGGTCATTCCCCAAATTACAAGACCTTACTGCAAATTGATGTTAAGTGGGAGAGTAATAACAGGTGATCGTCAGCGGGAATGAAACTCTCTCTTTGTCCTATCAAATGCCATACAAATCACACTTGATTATAGATATAATCATACCAAAAATACACTCTATCATTACGAAACACCCTAGTTTAATAGCTATTAAAATAGAGTTAGTTCCTAATCGCGGAAATAATTAAATAGGTAACTCTTGTCCAAACTGCTTTCATCTTAAAAACTTTAAAAATAAAAGGTGTTAACAACTGTAAAACAATACTGAATAGAAATAAACAAGAAAATGAAATATATTAGTACTTGTATATAAAAATAAAAGTCTACTTAACAGAATGAAAGGCAAAAGTAAAAACCATTAAAGTGAGATAGAAAATCAAAATTTATTTTCAAACAAAAATATTAACTTTTTTTAAATAATACTTTAACACAAACAATAATGGATTTTGGTGTTTGGATTAAGATAAAATAAAAATGAACACGTCATATATACTATACTACTAATAAACTACAATATAACATTATAACACTCAACAGCTTTATAAAATATATTATATATACAAAATACACAAATGAAATTAATCTATAGTCAACTTAAAAATATTGGGCTTCTACGGTTTTACATGTATGCATTCATGACTAAATCAAGGTTATAAAAACCAGTTGTGTATATATTCAAATTCAATCAACCAATATTACTCATTACACTGAATCACATCAAACCTTTCTTAATTTTTCCAACATATTTGAGATGGACTAGAAATTATATCAGTTCAGTTACACAGAAGGAATTTGAAAGTTATGTACAAACTACTGTTTCATTGAAATTGAAACCAAAGACATCTAAAATGTTGATTATGTACCACATATAGTTTGGGACGATCTAATCTACTGAGCTTTCATTGTCTAAAAGATTTGTCTTCTATAAATATATCCATAAATATTTACAAGAAAGCCAGCGAAGACTAAAAAAACACTGATACATTTTTTTGTCACAACACATACAGTTTACCAGTTAAGTCTAACCCTACTATGTAACAGCACAGTTATCTATTACTACTGATTTTCTTGTATACTTTTGGTCAATAGTTAATACAGTATTTGCATATATACATAAAAATCTTTACGAACCTATGTTTAATTGTATAATCCTAATGGCTCGATTAAAAAGTGAACGATTTGTCCAAAATGCAATTATGTGGCAGTATTGGGATTGAAATTGCCATTTACAAATGACAAATAAACTTTCAGAAATGTAGAGAAGACCTAACTATCCGTAAACAGATTAACACAGTGAAAAATCCAAATTCCTTACAGTCACAATACGTTTCTAAAACATGAATGAACACTTAAAACGGATTACAAATGTTGGCCACTAATTTATCACTAGAAGTCCCACAATCAGTATTCTTGTGCTTGAACAGTTTAAACGAAATGTTATAAGATAAATAACATCTTCCTTAGTCTCTGGAGTTCTGAAAATAAATTATACTCCTCTTCTTGGAGAAAAACATTGATAGCCCACCTTAATGTGGAAAACAAAATGTACACTCGTTATTTTACAACTCGTCTTAGTTACTCGGAATTAAAACCTCAACCGACCACTATACAAGTTGTTTGGTGGAAGGAATGTTATTTGTACAGTTTAAATCATACAATATTTGGCAAGCGGACTTGTTTGTATAAAATAGCACATTACAAGCGCGGGAGATGTTCAGAATCTGGCCGGCGGGTCGTCCTCCACCGGCTGAACGCGTCCCTACAATCTCTCCGAGAGAAGGGTGTTTGCCTGAACGGTCAGAGATTCACGACGGACAGCGTACGACACCAGGATGCCCAGTGCTACCAACACCATGGCCAGAGCGTTGATTATGATGCCTTCCTCACTAAACGTGGTGTAGTCCTCTCTGCAACAGAAACATCTGTCAGTGAAGTTATGAGGAATATTGTAAATTATACCTATAAAGTATTAGACTCCATCTGGTCTTGATCCGTATGGTTTGGAACATTAGAAGGTTTTGGAGAGCCATCCGTGTATATGTGAATCACACAGTTGCAAAAACTGATTGTTTACAGCAAAAAAAAAAAAAAAAAAAAACAATAATCTCTTACCAACAGATGTTATGATCATTTATTGTTTACTAGTTACTGTGAAAATATTACTGTGAAAATTTATTTTTGTATTAAATTGAAACTAATGGTTTGGCTCAGTTGGACAAGGGTTCTGTACCCTGGATTATGGACTCATTTATTATACCTTTACTCAAGAACTAGTAGTGTGGTCATCAATTTTCCAGTGTGGGAAAGTTTACTAAGCTCTTGGAAAAATACGGACCGCTTACCAAAATAGGAATATTCTTTGGACAAAGCAGAGCCAGAATGCCGTTCCCTATCATTCCCGCCCAACTATTCCACTCAACAGTCTCAACAGACTCAACAGCTTGGAACCCTCTATTGACCCATGACAAAAGAACCCTTTAATAAATCACAGAGCCTTACCCATAACCCCATGGAACTTTTACCCTACATCATGGACTCGATTATAGAACTTGGAACTCTTACCCTAAATCATGGTGGACCTTCTGAGTAAGGCCGGTGACACATGTAGCTATGGCCATCATGAAGGTAGTGACTCCGAAGCTGGCGTGGACGGGCACAAGAGCAGCACGGAACGCTGCAGTAGCCCCTTCACAACAGAGCAGCACGATGAAGCTGAAGAATCCTACAACAAACTTGCAGAACAAGGTAGAGTCAGCAGGTTGAGTTGTAAAAGTATTGATTGGTTGCATAGGACACCACCGTTATATCACTACCACCGTACTCTTTTAGTACTAATAAAAAGAAAGCGCTTAGTTATGCGCATAACTGAGGTGGCTGTATCTTATTGTTTCATGCCTATCAATGGTTGAATGTGCTGTTGACAAAGATTGTTTGCACCATTTCAGTTAAGAGAGTTTCAGTTTAAAAGTGTCAGGGTTAGGAGGAAGGTTGGTACTTTTGTTGAACTTCCAAAGTTTTACCAGTGAAAATATTAAGATTTTTTACGTCCCACTTTCACATCCAGGGTTGGTGGTAGAAACCTTAAGTTCTAGCCCAGAACTGTTTACACATTACTCCAGACTAGTCCTAGAGGGTCGTCGTGGCATTATCACATAGATCAAATCTATTGGTGATTGGCGGGATTTCAACCCAGTACCTCGGGCTCCGAAGCCCCGAACTCTACCACTAGCACTAGACTAGGGAAGGGCTCATACTTGGAGTATTTCTAATCAGGCTATAAATAGCCAAGAAAAGAACTCTGAGATTTGGAATGGGTTTTCACAATCAGGCTTCCAATGGCCAGAAAAGGGCTCAGCAGATGAGTTGTAGAATAATTCCAATTTATGATTTTGACCAAAAATGCCTCTGGGATCTAAAATATGTCTATCAGATGCTTAGGGAATACCATCCACTAGGTCCATCAGGACTCTCAATACCAATCATTACATGTTCTAAAACTCTAACAACTTGACCAGAAATATGTCCGTACTTGGAAGGCGAATAGTCCCATGGTGACGAACCCCATCCAGCTGTGCATAGAGTAGAAGTGTGTTTTGGGTGGTTCAGAGAGATTCTTAGACTCGAACACTGCCAGACCACCAAGCACAACACAGGGAATGGCTAGAGCATGGAAGATCATGTGGAACAGCTTGACGTAGATTTTGCGGCAACACCTGCTGATTCTGTACAGCAACATGGCTGAAACAAAACAATGATTATCAATTTCTCACAGTTATTGCGCTTATGAGTTAAATGTCAAATTTGTGGCTAAGTTTAAAAAAATGAACATAGTTGGCATTGAGTCTCCGATAGAATATAGCTGATAAAATAGTTATTTGTGCAACTAGTGAGAAAAGTGAGCAATTGACTCACTCGAGAGAAATCCTTACTCACGAGCCGTAGGCGAGTGAGGAATGGTTTCTCGAGTGAGGCAATTGTACTTTGAACTCGAGTTGCACATTATACTTTTCCTACAGTTACCATAAAACAAATAAATTGGTGAAGAAACATAACCTATTTTTACACAGAAGTGAACTTTTAATATAACATTTAACGTGAAGTGACAAATACAACAGTAAAACAGCTGACCAGCTGATTTACAGCCAGTGCTGCCAACGTATTTCGCGCGCATATGACGTTGCCTGCATGTTACGCGCTCACTATTTCGTGCCTTCACGTTGCAAATCTGGAGTGAGACAAAGTAATTAGAGTGAGACAATGTTAACATTGTCTCACTGATGAGCGAATTGGCCACTTTGCTTTCTCAAATCAGTGAGAGAACATGTACATTGTTAGGTAACTGTAGGAAAATTACAATTTCTGTTGAATATAGATTAAATTCTTAACCAAAGCAGAACTGAGAGGATTGTAAACCATTTACACTTTCTCATGAACAACTACTTATGAGAGCAAATTGTTTTGTTTACTGCAGCATATTCTGTAAGCATGGCTACAGCTGGTGTATATAGATGGGTCCGTCTTCATATATTCAAAACTTACATATTTTACTTATAAATTAAAATATTGGATGGTGCTAGAAACACTGTTTTGCAAATCTTTCTCCGTTCTACACTATGCATTCAAGACCAGTAAAAAGTATGCATCTAAGTGTGCCTCGACTGTATTTAAAAGTAAAAACTAATTACAAATTTATACAGGTATGCAAATTTTCCAGGAGATAGTTTCTTCTATTGGAATAATTCACAAAAAAACTTTTCATCTGATGGATATAAAACTCACAGAATAGTTCTGAAAAATATTACATTAAAGGATTCAAGTTTTAGTTAAAACTTGAAAAACTACTGATCTAAATTTAACCACTTTTTTGCTACAACTGTGTACAACTGACTGTAAAACATCTACGAGACATCAAACAAAGAAATCAATCTTTGTGATTCCCACCACAATCCACAATGGGGAACAAAAAGTGTATCGATTGTCTCAGTGTGATTGTTTTGACCAACTGTTTCTTGTGCATTCTAAGAAGTGAGCTGTGATCTGGTTCCATCTCGGAATGTGGTTTTTGCTGACGACAGAAGCACTGGAGTGGAGTGAGGATTGAAAGTGAGACTGACCATCTCTCATGGACTGATGACCAGGACACTACTCTGACACACTGACTCACTCCACTCCACTCCAGCTTCCTGTTGAATCTACTTTGTGTTAGTGTCATAGATAGCAATGCCAAAGCAATGGTAGATTACCTGATCTTTTTCAAATTGATAACTTTCAAAGGTATGTCATCATGATTAAATCAGATGAATGGTTGCTTTGTAGGTAGTTTGTTTGACTTCTAGTTGGGTGTTAACATGGAGTAGACAACTTATTGATCCTATATTACTAGAGTAGAGTCACAAAATTGTTTTTTGTTTTGGAATGGCTAATTGCCTGTGCCTCTGACTAAGATTGAACAAAACTATCATTTAAAAACCACGGATGTCTAAAAACTGGAGTTATAATATGAATATGAATTAGCCACCGAATTACTTTATTGAAACAGCAGCAAACTTTGTGCATGTAAGGGATGAGTTTAAAACGTATTATAGGTACCTGTGTAGCTTTATCACTAACCACAGAGAAGAAATAAAGGTACAGAGGAAACACTCAATGGTACACTTAAGTGGTGTCTAACACTACTCCTGGTGTCTAGGGCACTGCCTCCCATCACACCCTCATATACTATAAAGCTCTGGGTGGAGGAAGAGTCTGTGCCCTGTGTGATAGAAAATTCCGCATAGAGCTCGCCGCTTGCGCTCTTCCTTGCTTGTCACAAGTCACAACATACTAGAGCTGAAAGCACACGTTCTTCCTATAAGCAAGTTTCCTCTGCACCTTACTTCTCTGTGCACTAAGATCAGCTGTGTCTTCTCTCGGAACCATTTATCAAAAGCCCAGTAATGAAAGGATCGGAAAACTGGGTCCAGAGTTTTGAAACATCAAAAAGCTGACTCTGAGGAATAAACCAAGTGACATTCTGATTGTTTGGCAAGCAACACAGCTAGTCTCTTCAGTTTAACCAGTCTGTTTTACTTACAAAATCCACTCAGTGAAATAAATCCAGCGATCATGAGAGTTGGATGAGCGTTGAACTGTCGGCTCGGATCCTCATTCCAGGCGTATCCTTTCCTGTAGTACAGAGTCCAGAAGAGGACCAACACCAGGCTAGCCAGGAGCAGCAGGCTGGCCAACACGACCACCAGGACGTACTCGCACCAGCTGCCACAACCCATGCCTTCTTCGTCATCCTCGCGTTGTCTGCAACAGGACAGGACATTTGGTCAGACATAGCAGGTTTAATATTGGTCTTGTCAATGGAGGAAAATGTATATAGAAACGAAGAGTGAGCCCCTTTAATAAATGTCCAAATGCCCAAGGGCGCAAGAGGGTTTAGGTTTGTTGGGGGCGCAAGGAAGGGAAACATTCCTCCCCAAGGTAGGCAGAAAGGGGCACAGTATTCTCTCGAGCCCATAGCATACATGCAAACCTGTATAGTAGTAGTATCATAGACAAAAAGAATTAAATACGAGCGTCAGCTGTGTTGCGGTTACCATAGGTTCTGGCGCACACCCAGCGGTGTGCGCCAGAACATATGATAACCATGGTAACCGCAGCCCGGCTGATAGTCTATATTTAATTCTTTTTGTCTATGGTAGTATTTATTAAAGATAAGCTTACACTCCTTGTAAATAAGAAAGTTTTTACTTTTACAAATCGTTGCACATTTTTACCAAAATTTGAATTAAGGATGCATGTAGAATACTGACTTTTGGATACTGAAGTACGCACCTCAGCTATAAAGTCTAGCTGTAGCCATTTTTTTTTTCACTAACAAATAACACAGTTGAATAAGCCAATCACAGGGTGTGATACAGTATTAAACATTGTTTTAAATATCTCTTCTTTCTTGTCACTGTGACAGTTGATGTGATAGGTTTTATTTTGTTTTGTCTTGGTAAAAAAGTTGGTGTATTCCACCGAAATCAATTTACATCAGTGCACTTGGTCATTAGCTAATAAACTTTGTTGACTTTTGTTTTAAAACTGGCTACAAATTTAACATAGGAATGACATGTCTACCTTAACATAGAAGTTTTTATAGTTTCTACCCCATTCAAAAGTATAAAATATACATTGAGCCCGGCAATCGCTTGTATCGCATACACAACGTAGACTTCTGATGAGAAATGTCCTGTGTATCAACCAAATTCATCAGCAAGGGTCCCCTTTTTCTGCCTTTATCATCTCTGACTAGCTCAAATAGATCAATTAGGTACATGGTTTTCAGATCCAGGCCCTAAAGAGCATAGCCTAAGGAGGAAATTACTGACTAAATGTGTATTATGTAAGGCTACGTGTTCCTTTCAGGACCATTTATTAAAAGCGTGAATCTTGGGTAACTGGGCAAAGTTTTGAACTATATCAAAAAGCTAACGATTTTTTCCCAGGATCAAACCCGCAACACCTGATTAGCATGTACCGTAGAATGGGGTGAATAGAAACACTTTTTGACTTTTAAGCTTCTGTAAAAACGATATTTTTAATTTTTGAATTTTCAACACTAGCTAATATTTTCGGTCTTGGACTCCTCTACTCAAACCAGTTATCATTTTTTTTTTCTTTTTAATCATTAAGCAGAAAAAAAATAAAATATGGCTGTTTCTATTCACCCCGCACTTTGGGGTGAATAGAAACACTGTGTTAAATTGATGATTGTTGCTTTTCCCCACTTACCAGGGGCAATAGAAACATGAAATTTATGCTTGTTAGCTTAGTTTGTTGTAAATAAAAATATTTAAAGTTAATTAACACATTTATTTATAAGTACGAAGTATAAAAACATCGTTTTCATAAACCCTTATCCAATTAAACAAATCGGAAAACATAAATGACAATGGGTGAAATCAGAGGTACAAAATCTTACATAGAAACCAACTAAATGATGAGTAAAATCAGACAAATCTTCCTCAAAATACAACACTCCCTTAAATTTACAAGTTGTACACGGCTTGGGAGTTGGAAGCCGACGTACTACGTCATCGACTTTGAAGAGGGCCTCTTAATCTGTCTCTCAGAACTTGTTGGTTTGCGCAATTTTCTTGATGAATCTTCCTATTTATCCTTCCTCGTCAAATTCAATAACTTTTGCAACATATAAACGATAGCAAGTTTTGTTTTTCCCCATTACTTTGACAATTACATGATCATGAAGGGACAACTTTGAAGACTCACTGATGTCTTGAGCTAGGTATGCTGGTTCTTCTTTATCAAATTGTTTGTCTTTGTCACTTTCTCCAGTGAGAAGTGTGTGTGTAATCATCTTCATCTCTGGTATATTTTTTTCTTTTTCGGGGGGTTTTCAGGTCAACCTTTATTTGCACCACTGGTTCCAAAAAAAGTGTTTCTATTCACCCTGGTTTTGCAAAATCATGACATAACCTAAATAAAAAATAAAATAAAAAATATAGTTTATTCTAAGGCTAATCTATTAACACACTTGGTTTTAAGATACCTAAGACAACATAAAAAATGGTTATTAACATAAATACATGTAATAGGTTCATACTTAGAGAGAAAGTTTTGAAAAGAATGTTTTTCGCCAAAATTTTCAAATGATGTTTCGCATCATCCAACATCCGAAGCAGTGATACCAATATGCTGAAATAATTTTTCCCAGGTAGATAGGATATGGTTATAATGGGGGAAAATAATTCCCTAATATTAATCAATGTATAACAAAGTTATAAAAATGTGAATCATTCATTGAAGTTTTGTTTCTATTCACCCTGTTGTTTCTATTCACCCCATTCTACTAAGCGTTTTAACCTTTCAGCTAACAAGCTGATTCAATAAGGTAATGAGCCCAGGAAAAAACAATTTCATAGTGAAATTGGTAGTTACTAGTACCTTTGACTATCAATACAACTTCAGTATCCAATAGTCAATACTAGTACTTATGAGTCGTTGTAGGACCTCTACTTGTAATTATGTGTTGAAACAGTGCAACACATGATTGTTAGTTTTAGTTTGTACGTTTCTAAATTTTATCAAAGAAAAATCCAATTTCATTGACAGAGAGATAAAGTAGCCTTCTATAGTTAGGCATTGTTTTTGACATTGGACTTTTAAGGAACGGCTCATTTCCATAGCTAATTATTGTTCAGTTTGTTTACCATCTGCAATGAACCATGGTTCCGTTTGACAATGATTTTTTTACAAATTGCAGCTAAACAAGCGCAACATGGAAGTTTGTCATTTTACACTAGTAAATTGCGTTTTAAAATTTAGTAGTTTAGCATTGGTTATTACTTATTTCTAGTTGAACGGCCTAAATACCAGAATTTTGCCTAATATGAACATTTTCAGCAATGGTTAATTGATAGGGTGACACAAATGTTAATGCTGCAAAAAGATTGTACACAGACATATACTGAAAATACATCCTTACACTCTATACACACAATTTAAGAAGAACAATATATGCAATCATAACTTCCACTTGAACTGACCGAATAACAATACCGACCAAAGGTCAATGTGTTATTTAGGATTATATTATAAATCCTCAAAAAGGACCAAATCCTTTTGTGATTGGTATTACATTTGATTTTTTTATTTGTAAAATAAACATTAGTTAAGCAAAATAAACCAAACAACAAATAAAAATGACTAATGGCAAAGACCTGTAAAAATTAATAATATTTCAATTTCATTATTTTTTTTTTCTACGCCAGTGGCATTTCACAAGAGAGGCCTCGAGAGAATAAATGTTTAGTTTGTACTAATTAAGTACTAAATACAATTATTTTGTAAATTTAGAATCTACTTGAGAAGCTTTTGAGTTTCTACTGTATCATAATAAATAATAATCTCTTGAATAACTTTACATCTGATAATCAATTAGAAAAATTTGTAAAAGTTAAATAGTAACCCCTCATCAACTTATAATCTAAATTTGGCAGCATTTCAATAACAGTATCTAATAGTAAAAGTGTTTTACATTGCCTCCAAAGAGGAAGTGCAGAGTGCACATGTGCGTTGTGCACTGCCATTATGATCAACGACGACGCCGGCCATTTTCCATAGAGGATGCTCCAGTACGTTCGCGGCGGCACGTCAAATGGAGGGCGTATCCCAGGTGCGGCGCAGCCCTCAGCATCGAACAAACCCGATTGCCGCGTGTGATTGGCTTTTCAATTTCGGTCTGATAAATAGCAAATAACGTGCGAGGATGTCCTGCTTTACAATGAGAGTCGACGTAGTTCGCTAAACACCAACAGATAGCAGCACTGCTTGTAACGTAGCCGGTCCCATTGGAATTGTATTGCCAAATGGAGGGAAAAAGACGGGACAAAAGTTGAATTTTGAGATTGCCAGACGGGGATTTTACGGGGAAATTTACTACCAACCTACACCACAACAAAATACAGTATACTATTGAGCAGTGCTGTGCGAGGTTTCAAGTTTCTAGCTCTAATCCTGTCTTAAAAATAAATCATTTCGTACTGCATTTCAGCTTGGGAGCGATCGCACCCACCAGGATGGCATTAGGGTTCCGTATGGGAGCGATCGCTCCCATGCCGCCGCGAACGTGTTAACAATCTACGAGATGCAGACAGCATAGCCTACAAACCAGCCTCCATAGTCAGACAATGGGTCGTAGCGAGGAAAGTCTAATGATCGGTTCTTTCGACGAACTGTTTTCCCGCCTAAATTAACGCTTTACCCGCCCTAATTGCGCCTTGCCCTTGAGCGAGAGTAGAAAGCGAAACTAGCCTTTAATAATTGTTATAAACTCCTAATAAGTGACTTGAGCTTGAGATAGAGGGTTGGCAGTATTAAAATAATAGATATCTTGCAGAGATAAGTTCGTACTTTCATTTATGACTTAATACTTACTTAAATAATAGCCATACCCATACTACAATATCCGTACTAAAAAAATTCCAAATACCAGCTTTGCAAAGAAATATTTCTACTATTCCCATTTGATTTATTTTCAGATGTGCAATTTTTGTCATAGTATGCTAAAAAAACAATACCGTAGTTATTATATTGAGTGAAAACATGTTTAGGCAGTTTCTTGTAAATACCGGTAAATATAGTAAAATTTAGCTCAAAACGGTATACCTATGTTTGAAACAAACATGTGTATACTTATGTTTGTTGTACATATACCTTCTATGTTGTACAATAGTATATTACATCACTAGCCCGGTAAGTGGTGTTTTACCGTTAGTGCGGGATTTTCGTGCAAG